TGGGGTTACAGGCATGAGCCGCCATACCTGGCTCACAAGCTTTGTGTTTTTAAAGATATTAGACATGTTTCTTATTTTCTTTTTTTTTGGTTTTTTTAAAAAAACAAAAAACCCTTAACAATAATGTAGGAGAACAAGAGAAAGCTTTTCCAAAAAAGAGAAATCATTGTGATTATTTATCTTAGTGAAATGCTGGATAATATAGTCTGCTTTATCAATCATCAAGCACACTATAAAATTTCCATTTCAATAGGATTTGTACTTCAATTGAGGTAATAAAGTTTTAAAGTTTTTAAAGTGAAAGCCAGCCCCGCCCCTCTCCTGGAGTGGGCGGGGACAGCAGTTACATGGGCGGCTTTCCTTGTGACATCACAGGTCCTTCATGACACACTGCTGTCTGGCCACGCCTCCTTTCCCTTGCATCTTTCTCATTGACCAATAGGCTTGAAGCATTAAGGCCACGCCCCTATCTGCATTCTAGTGTGGCCCTGGTTACGCCTCCTCTGGCTCACTCACACAGCTACCTGGTAGGTGACTGGAGGTGTATAGTTGTCCTCGCCTGGATTGTGCTGATGTGGCCCCAACCCCACCGCCCTACCCATCCCATGATGTCCGAAGAAACCCGACCGATCAAATTGGCCAAGGCCAAGGAAAAGGTAAAACGCACCAGGTTGTGGCACCCCAACCCAGCCCCAGGCGCCCTCTGACAGTCAAGCTGCTGCCAGAGTCTGTGCCACTGCTGAGGCACACCAGGCTGGGACCCCTCCCCAGTGCCTCTGGGCTTCCCACACCAAAATCTTGTGAGCCAGCCCAAACCCCTCATGAGTCCTGCCCCTGCCCTCAATAGTCACCCCAGGGTGACTTTGAGCTGGTGACTCCCAGGGCTTCCCACTCCATACTCTGCCCTCACCTCCTGCTACCCCAAACCTGACTTCCTTGGGCTCTTTGGGCTCACGTCTCGAAGCACCTCGGTGCCCTGGAACCTGCCCTCACCAGTTGTCCCCTGGTCACTTTGGACAGGTGAATCCTGGGGCTCCCCGTTCCATACTCGGCCCTCACCTCCCACCACCCAAAGCCTGACCTCCCTGGGCTCTTTGGGCTTGCATCTCCAAGAACCTGGGTCCCAATCCTGTGACCCCCCCCTCCCATATCTCAAAGCGGCAACTTGGGCATTGCACTCATGTGTCCCCCCCACTACTCCACCAAGGAGTGGAATGTAGTGATGTCGCAGTCCTTCTAGGAACTGTCATTACTGCCACGAGACCGGTCTTTGGTCTTAGGACCCAGTCCCCTAAGTGTTCTTGCCCATTTCTGGTTCCTCTGGTGTAGCACAGGTTTCCAGCTGGAAGGGGATTGGGGACTGTGGGACGTAGGAGAGAGAGGTTTCAGGCTGCCTTACTTCCTTAACACAGACGCTGACAGTGTGAAAAGCCTACACCTCCCCTATGAGCTCAACACATTGACAGTGTTCTGGGTGGCAACGGGAGAATGGGTTTAGTTTGATTTTCTCCCAGGCTTCTACTCTCCAGAGAGACTCGAACATTGTTTCTGAGTTCTCCACCTCAGATTTGAATTCTGCATTGTTCTGGGACCAGAGTGCCCCTCAGTCAGTGGTTGCTGGAGTGAGATCTGCCTATCTTCTGTGGAACAGATCTTGGGAAACTGAACTTGACAGCTTGAATCTTCCTCATCTCATCTCCACCTGGGGTACTTTGAGTGCCACAGGATAAATACGGGGCATCTTTCTGAAGCATCAGTTTCCTTTGAGTCTACTGAGCGACAAAACATTAATGTACTTGGGGTGACTGTCACATACATTTATAAGAATATACAAGACTTCTCTCTGAAATGAGGGTTGGGTTGTCCTCTTTCTGTTAAGTTCCCAGATTTCACAGAAAGGCTGCCTTCTGCCATGAGCATACATTAATATAAACGTTTGAGAGGTAGTGGTGCACTTCTTCACATTAACAGACGTGTGAGGGTGTATGACTCTAAACCACACGGTGTACAGTGCCTGCCTATGTAATATTTGCTTTTCTGCCTTTGCCTCTGGTTTTGGTCCCTGGTAGCTGCTGACTTGTGGCAAAATCCCAGAGCTCAGAGTCAGAAGACTGAGTTTCAGTTCCATTAGTGCCTTCTATTCAGCCATGGTATCAATCCCTCTCAGTCACTAAGTGATTGTGACAACACTTCCTACAGTTGTTGGTGGCATTAAATCAGATGGTGCATAAGAGTATTTTGTAGAAACTGTAAAGCAGGATGTGACTGTAGGAGTTTCTAGTTCTCATGAGTATCACTGCTCTTCCTTTCCACAGTTGAGAGACTACCATCCCCAGGCCAACCCTAGTGTTGGTACAGGAGCAAGTGACACCAAAAAGAAGAACATAAATAATGGTGCTAACCGTGACACAACCACTTCTGGTGGTTGCCACTCACCTGAGGATGTGAGTCTTGGCTGGCCAGGCTCCTGGGGACAGAGGGTCCAAGGGGTGGTGGAAGGTAATTGTTAAGATTGTGGAAGAACTCCCAGGCACTGCTTAAGAATTCTGGGTTTGAATCCTCTCCATCTGCTGGGGATATGATAGAGGGCAAATTCCTTGAGCTCTTTGGGCCTCTCTTTTCACATCTGTAAAATAGGAGTGGTTTGGTTTTACCTACATTGGTGAAGTTTAAATGAGATTTATCATTGTTGTTTTTATGTGAATCCCTAGTCCACGGCCTGCTGTAAACTCTCCTTCTCGGGCTTGCGTTTCCTGAGGTAGAGTTAGAGAGTATCAGAGGTGTCTGTTAGCTCTGAGAGTCCGAGAGTTAAAGGCCCACTAGAATGGAAACCTCGGGACCGAGGGTTCCTATCTGCCTTTTCCGTCCTATATCTGCGCTGTGAAGAACCGTCCCTGGCCCGTATGTGCTCAGTCAATGTTTGTTGAATGAATGCACCTTTCTAAATCACAAGCTGGCAGAAGCGTGGGCTCTTCTCACACTCCATCTCTGAAGGTTTCTGTGACTGTCTTTTTGAGAGAATCTAGTTTCAGACTTTGAGTTCTGTGGCTGTGGGCAAAAACCAACAAAGACTCAAGTCCTTTTACTTTGGGAGTTGAGGAGAGTTTACCAGTTCGAGTTCCCATTGGGTCTGAGAACTACCTTTAAAATCCATCCCTGGCCCCTGCCTACTGCTTCCTGGCCTGGGGAATAGAGTTGAAGGGGCCACCCTCAGTCACCTTCCTTTGACTCTCCCCACAGAAACAACAGAACCGAGCCCAGCTGGAAGAAGTAACGTGATTTCTTTGTTTGCTCACATGACTGCTGGGTTTGGAGGACACTCAGCCATAGAGGCCCCAGTCTCGTCTCACCCACTCCCAGCCTGGGGAAGAAGGCTCACCCCCCAGATCCCACCCCGTCCCCACAGGGTCCCTGATAACCTGGTCCCATGGGTGGGCCTGTCCTGGGGCAGTGGTGCCCTTCTGGGGGCATGTCTCTTGCTGTGCCATCTCTGCCTCCCCGTAGTAAGAGCTCTGTATTCCTCTTTCTATAGGAAAAGAAGGCAAGCCACCAACATCAGGAAGCCCTAAGGAGGGAGCTAGAGGTGAGTGGAAGGTGTGAAGTTCCCTCCTGTCCTCTGGAGAAGGTTTCTTTGCTTCTCTTTCAGCACTTGCTTGTCTTTTCTCCCAAAGGCCCAGGTTCATACCATACGAATCCTTACATGTGAGAAAACTGAGCTTCAGACGGCACTCTATTACAGCCAGCGTGCTGTCCAGCAGTTGGAAGGTGGGAACCTGGCACTTTGACAGGCCTTTAGGGGGAATCTTTTGGGCCGCATCTGAATGTCTCTCATTCCAGGAGAGTGCAGGCATCTGGTCGGCCGCCTGCATGATTCATGGAATTTTGCAAGAGATTTAGAGCGGGATCTCTCTGCTGTCGCTACACAGAAGAAGAAGGCTGACAGGGTGAGTCCAACCACCTGCCCCGTCCCCTGGGAACCCGGCTTCACAGATGGAGGAGTGAGCCTAAAAGTCCCTTCTGCAGGATGGAGTGTCCTGCCCAGAAGACAGCATGGCCATTTCTTGCTGCTTTTGTGTGTGGTGGTTAGAGGCTGACAGGGGCTGAGTCGGCTGCTGTGGGTGAGTTGGGGGGCGCCGTGGGCAGTGAGCACTGGACATAGAGCTCACAGGCCAAGTGCCCGCCCTGCCCATATTTGACTGTGGCCTTGGCCAAGTCCCAAGTGGCGGTTAGGATAATTGTACTATAAAGGTACAGAAGACTAGCTTGAGTATGTTATTATTTGTGTTGAGAGAGGAAGCCTGTGTGTGTGTGTGTGTGTATGTATTATGGGAATATACAATAAACATGTTTGTAAGGATTCATAAACATCTCAGGAGAGAGGAACAGTGTTGGGGGGAGATGTTTCCCTTCTGTACTTTCTGAGTTTTGGACGATTCAAATGTATCATCCGTTCAAAATGTCAACAAATGATTAATTTCCTCCTCCTTATCTTTGCCCCTACCCCCCAGTGAAAGAATGGGCTTAGAGAATCAGATATACCTGGGTGTTGAAATCCCAGCTCTACGTGATCTTAGGCAAGCACTTAACCCTTAATACCCCATGTTTTTCATCTATACGATAGAGGTAATAATGGTAACCGTCTCCTATGGAGGTTGTGAGGATGAAATGGGATTGTTAGTGCAGTGCCTGGTGAAGCAGTCAGTAAAGGTTCCAACAGTGGTAGTAGTAAGAACAATAGCAACACCATCTGATGTCTCTGGGCCCCTGCTAGCCAGCTATGAATTCAGTCTCTTTCCCTGTCCCTTCCACCTTTACTGAGTTCTTTGAAAGACAAATGAGGGCCAGGTGCTCTGGCTCATGCCTGTAATGCCAGCACTTTGGGAGGCCGAGGCTGGCGGATCACCTGAGGTTGGGAGTTCAAGACTACACTGACGGACATGGAGAAACCCCATCTCTACTAAAAATACACAGTTAGCCGGGTGTGGTGGCACATGCCTATAATCCCAGCTAATCGGGAGGCTGAGGCAGGAGAATTGCTTGAACCCGGGAGGCGGAGGTTGTGGTGAGCTGAGATTGCGCCATTGCACTCCAGTCAGGGCAACAAGAGTCAAACTCTGCCTGAAGAAAAAGAAAAAGTAAGAAAGAAAGAAACAAAACAAAACAAAAAAGAAAACCAAAGGAGACCCTGGGCTTGGAAGTGCCTTGAGAGCATGTCAGGTGTGACTGGGAGTGGGGAGTGGTGTGTGGAGTGGTCACGGTGGCTGTTGTTCCTGGTCGGCCAGCCGCTCCTCTGCCTGCTCTATCCTGACTTCACCTTTCTCTATTTGCAGTACATCGAGGAGTTAACAAAGGAGAGGGATGCCCTGAGTCTGGAACTGTACAGGAACACGTAGGATGGGGGATCGTGGGATGGGAGGTCTTGGGGCTCTTAGCGTGGGGGGTGTGCTGGGAGGTGGGGGTACAGGTGAGCATGGCGAGAGGCTCATACAGGTTTTCATGTGTGCACAGGGAAGCTCTAGTGCCGGCTGTGCCACTGACTCATGGGGTAGCCTCAGGCAACTCATGTCTTCTCTCTGGCCTGCCACCTGGGGCTTTAAATTCCTGGGGTCCCATCCAATGCCACGGTTCTGTGGTTGTGGAGTGAAAGTAGAGGGTTGATCACTACAGCGGTCCTTTCTGTTCTTCGTTCATTCCTTTATCTACTGCCTCTGGTCGTAGCATAACCGATGATGAGCTGAAGGAGAAAAATGCCGAACTACAAGAAAAACTTCGACTTGTAGAATCTGAGAAGTCTGAGATCCAGCTCAATGTAAAGGAGCTAGAAAGGAAGCTGGAGAAGGCCAAGCTCCTGCTGCCACAGGCAAGCAGCTACAGCCCCGAGGGTTGTGGGATCCCCGTCCGGCTGGGACCATGGTCTAGGGATCATGCAGGGTATGGGGAGGCTCCAGCCAAGACCTGGAAAATTTGGGCCCTTGTTCTGGTCCCACCATAGAATCCTCTAGAGTGTGCTAAAAATCTACAAAGTGGGGCCCTGCCTGGGGAATCAGAATCTCAGAGTTAGGGCTTAAAAATATATATTTTAAAGGATCATGGGTGAAAACCATTGTTTGATAGATTACATTTATATGACTATCCCATGAGTCTGTTTCCTTCTGAGGTTCAAACCAACACTTTCACTGTTCCAGCAGCAGCTGCAGGAGGAGGCTGACCACCTGGGTAAGGAGCTGCAGAGTGTGTCCGCGAAGCTCCAAGCCCAGGTGGAAGAGAACGAGTTGTGGAACCGCCTGTACCAGCAACAGGAGGAGAAGATGTGGAGGCAGGAAGAGAAGATACAGGAGCAGGAAGAGAAGATACGGGAGCAGGAGGAGAAGAGGCAAGAGCAGGAGGAGAAGATACAGAAGCAGGAAGAGAAGAGGCGGGAGCAGGGGGAGAAGATGTGGAGGCAGGAGGAGAAGATACGGGAGCAGGAGGAGAAGATACATGAGCAGGAGGAGAAGATACGGGAGCAGGCGAAGAAGAGGCAGGAGCAGGAGAAGGAGATGTGGAGGCAGGAGAAGATGCATGAGCAGGAGGAGAACATATGGGAGCAGGAGAAGAGGAGGCAGGAGCAGGAAGAGAAGATTTGGAGGCAAGAGGAGAAGATACGGGAGCAGGAGGAGAAGATGCATGATCAGGAGGAGAAGATACAGGAGCAGGAGGAGAAGATACATGAGCAGGAGGAGACGATAAGGGAGCAGGAGGAGAAGATACATGAGCAGGAGGAGACGATAAGGGAGCAGGAGGAGAAGATGCACAAGCAGGAGGAGAAGATACAGGAGCAGCAGAAGAAGATAGAAGAGCAGGAGAAGAAGAGGCAGGAGCAGGAGGAGAAGATTTGGAGGCAGGAGGAGAAGATTTGGAGGCAGGAGGAGAAGATGCATGAGCAGGAGGAGAAGACACAGGAGAAGGAGGAGAAGAGGCGGGAGCAGGAAGAGAAGATGTGGGAGCAGGCGGAGAAGATTTGGAGGCAGGAGGAGAAGATGCGTGAGCAGGAGGAGAAGATACAGGAGCAGGAAGAGAAGATACGGGAGCAGGAGGAGAAGATACGGGAGCAGGAGATGTGGAGGCAGGAGGAGAAGATACAGGAGCAGAAGGAGAATATGCACAATCAGGAGGAGAAGATACGGGAGCAGGAGGATAAGATACACAAGCAGGAGGAGAATATACGGGAGCAGGAGAAGAAGAGGCAGGAGCAGGAGGAGAAGATGCGGAGGCAGGAGGAGAAGCTACGGGAGCAGGAGGAGAAGATATGGAGGCAGGAGGAGAAGATACGGGAGCATGAGGAGAAGCGGCGGGAGCAGGAGGAGAAGATATGGAGGCAGGAGGAGAAGATACGGGAGCAGAAGGAGATAATACGGGAGCAGGATGAGGTGATGCGGGAGCAGGAGGAGAAGATGTGTGAGCAGGAGGAGAAAATGGGGAAGAAGGAGGATATGCTGTGGGAGCAGGAGGAGAAGATGTGTGAGCAGGAGGAGAAGCTGGGGGAGAAGGAGGATATGCTGCGGGAGCAGGAAGAAAAGCTGTGGGAGCAGGAGAAGAAGATGTGGGAGCAGGAGGAAAAGATGTGGAGGCAAGAGAAGAAGCTAGGGGAGCAGGAGGAGAAGATGTGGAGGCAGGAGGAGATGATGCGGGAGCAGGAGAAGAAGATGTGGGAGCAGGAGGAGAAGATGTGGAAGCAGGAAGAGGTGATATGGGAGAAGGAGCAAAAGATACGTGAGCAGGAGGAGAAGATACGGGAGAAGGAGGAGAAGATGCAGAGGCAGGAGGAGAAGATGCGGGAGCAGGAAACGAGGCTGTGGCAGCAGGAGGAGAAGATGCAGAAGCAGGAGGTGAGGCTGCAGGAGCTGGAGGAGAGGCTGGGGGAGCTGGGGCGGAAGGCCAAGCTCTGGGGGAGCAGGCGGAGGTGGTTGCAAACCCTGGAGATCATACAGAGTGACCTCACCACAACTTAGCAGATGGTGGTTGGCTCCCTCTGCTTTTCCACCAGTCTGTGGCGTACAGCTTCAATGGTGGGAAGAAGGGTGTGAGATTTGAGGCTGGGGAGGGAGGCATGGGCCTCTAGGCAAGGGAGGCAGTGACTTAGGCCTGGAGGAAGGGGCCAGGGGCCTGGGCAGATGACAGAGCTCCACTGTGCCCTCGCCACCCTGTTTATGGGCCCAGAATCTGGAAGCCAGCCACTGCCTACCCTGACACCCATCCTGCAGGTGGAGCTGAAGAGCCAAGAGGCTCAGAGTCTGCAGCAGCAGCGAGACCATTCCCTGGGTCCACTGCAGCAGTATCTGGCTGCCTATCAGCAGCTGGCCTCTGAGAAGGAGGCTGTGCCCAGCTGCAGCAGCAGGAAGCTCAGGGCAAAGCGGTGGCCAAGGTAGCCCCCCAATAGTTGCAGGAGACCCAGTTGAGGGAGTTGATGAGGGTGAGGCCCCGAGGGGGATGACCTGGCAGCCTCCGTGCCTTCTCACTCTCTTTTCTGGCCCCTTAGGAGCACCTGGAAGCTGCCATCTACCGAGCACATGACAAGAAGGCAAAAACAATAAACATGTAAAACCCGGCAGCAAGGCCTGGAGAAGAGTCAGCTGCCATGTGACTGTTTAGAATATAGTCTGAGCCCAAACCTGAAAAAAAAGAAAAAAATTATTTATTTTAAATTGTGGCAAAATATTGGTCAGGCACAGTGGTTCATGCCTGTAATCCCAGCAATTTGGGAGACTGAGGTGAATGGACCACCTGAGGTCAAGAGTTCCAGACCAGCCTGGCCAATACAAAAATTAGCCGGGCATGGTGGCGCATGCCTGTAATTCCAGCTACTTGGGAGGCTGAGGCAGGAGAATCGCTCGAACCTGGGAGGCAGAGGTTGCAGTGAGCTGAGATCGTGCCACTGCACTCAAGCCTGGGTGATAGAGCGAGACTCCGTCTCCAAAAAAAAAAAAACAAAAAAACAAAAAAACAAACAAAAAAAATAACAAAAAATATTTCTTCCTTATCTTCCTTACATGTATGTTTCTATTGGTTTTTTTCTTGTATGTTTCTATTGTTTTTTTTCTTGTTCTTTCTCATTTAGTCTTGTCTTGTCTTATGGCGTTGCTAGTAAAATTTTATCTGCCTCCAGAGAGTATTGACTTTGACTTTATGGCACACAATTGGAGTAAGCGCAGATCACCTTCATCTAGTTTGGAACTAAGCTGGTTCAAAGCAGGTTTTAGTTTTTGTGACGGCTGGTCTATTTTTTATTCATTTGGACTCCTAGGGGTGACCCTTCCAGGGTTCCCACCAAGGTCCCATCTCCTTACTGGGACCCAAATTCTCATGAGGTCATTTCAGCCCTGTGAGTGCCACACATTCAGCTAGGCTCTCCAGCCTCTTAACCACCACTTCAGACTCAGTTTCTTAACCTCTTAGCCCTCTAGTGTTTACCAATCACCAAATGTCGGAAAAGCACTACAGACTGTCAGAGTCACCTCCTAGGCCTGGTCACTCAAGTTCTGACTGAGGTCTCCAATTACCTTCAAACAGTTGTTTTTGGTGGTGGGGGCACATTTTTGTCCAGTTTCTCTAACTGCTTTTGGGGGCAGGCTAACCTATAACAAGCTACTCTGCCTTTAGTGAAAGTTGAGAACCTTCATCTGTCTGTTTTTTTTTTTTTTTCTTTTGAGATGGAGTCTCGCTCTGTTGCCCAGGCTCCAGTACAGTGGCGTGATCTCTGCTCACTGTAACCTCCGCCTACTGGGTTCAAGCAATTCTCCTGCCTCAGCCTCCCGAGTAGCTGGGATTACAGGCATGTGCCACCATGCCTGGCTAATTTTTGTATTTTTAATAGAGACAGGATTTCACCATGTTTTCCAGGCTGCTCTCGAGCTCCTGACTCAGGTGATCTACCCGCCTCGGCCTCCCAAAGTGCTGGGATTACAGGCATGAGCCACTGCGTCTGGCCCATCTCTCTTTTAAAAAAATGTTTTTAATTTGAGGTATAATTTATCTTCAGTAAAATGCACAGATCTGGTATACATTTTGATGAATTTCAACAAATGCATTACCCATGTATCCCACCTCCTTTGAAGATATAGAACATTCCTATCATCCAGAAGGTTCTCCTGTGCTTTAACCCTGTCCGGCACTCCCCCAGCAGCTGATGAACCTGCTGACGACATTGGTACAGGATTCTGGCCACCCCAAAAGAGCTGCTTTGAGAAGCCTGCTTGCCTTACCCAGCACTAAGTCCCTGCCTGCTCTCTCAAAATTTCCATCTTTAAACTGGTTGTACCTATAACCCTCCCTGGTCAAGTCAGTAGATAAACTCTAAAAATAAACACCCCTTCCTGGCCCAGCAGCCCACAGCCTAATCTTTCCTGTAACCCCAAACTATCACACATGTCACTCGCCTGCTGGTTCACCCTCACTAGGGTGGCAGGTGCACCGGAGCAGCTGGGCTCACCTGTTAAGCAAGAAGCCAATAGCTGGACAGTGACACTCAGACCCCAGCCTGGGTGAGCCTGGCTGAAAGCCCCCTTCTTTCCGGTCCGACTGTGGAGAGAGGGGGCGGAGCATCCACAACTCTACTGTCCTCCGCATCCTTCAGCTGTGCTTCCTCCTGGGAGACGCAGCTGTTCATTCATTTGGCCAAAGCTTTCTTGAGGGCTGTAGGTTTGACAGGCTGGGTGTGTGGGGGCCACTGTGCTAGAGAGAGAGGCTGGTGTGTCAGAAGGCAGCCACCTGGCCAGAGGAGGGTCAACCCCCTTGGTGTCCTCCTTCCCCTGGCTGGAGACAGCGCCCTGCACTCTCCACATGTGACTGCTCCCCTCAGAGCCACTTCCAGGGGAGGGGTTCTAACCCTGTGGGTGGGGACACTGTGTTAGTTTACAGTGGGCCATGGCTCCCTCTGACATCTCCAACTCAGAGGCAGTGGAGAAAAGATGAGAAATTCCCTGCACCCCCTCCCTCAGCACCCCCACCTCTGCACACATCCACATATGGAGACCCTGACGGTGGTCCCTGGGAGTGCCGCCATCTGCGCCTCCATTCCATGCCTCCAGCAGCCATGCCCACTCTCCAGACCCTCACCCACCTGGCACAGTAGGGGCTGCACTGCCTGGGGTCCTGCCCCTATACCTGGGCCTCTGTACCCATCAGTTCCCCCAGTCTGGTTCTTATTTCCCCCAACAAGTAGGGAGCCGGTAAGGTCACCTGCTGAGCAAGCTGGGGGAGAGAGTAGGGTGGGGCTGGGAGGATGAGGAGGAGAAACTTATGGTCGTGCTGGAGACTCAGTGGAGCAGAGTCTATGCAGGCCCATTGGCTGCCTAGCCAGTGGTGATCCCGCTCTCACCCTCGTTTCTTCTTTAACAAAACCATGACCGCATTAAATATTGGAAACCTATAAACTTTATAGACCCTCCTCCAGACTCCCCGCCATGTATTGGTGAGTCTAAGTCAACTCTAGTCATTTCATTCCTCTGGACACTGATTGCCTGGGGCTTGGCCATGAGCTGCCCCTTCACCTGAGCCTGAGCCACACGTGTCCTCTGCACATACCAACTGATGCACTGGGTCAGGGAGAGCTCCGTCTCGATGGAGATGAGCTGTGAGGAGCTGGTGGCCCGGCGGATCAAGTTGTTGTAACGGGTTTTGTTCAGAGGGTCATCCATCAGCTTCTGCTCGGCATGGGCCATGCAGCAGTCCCCTGGGTAAACACGCAGACATGCTGGACCCTTGAGCAGCTGTCCCCCACTGCAGCTGACAGCTACAAAATGGGAGCCAAGAGGGCCAGGGAGCACAGGCACCTCGAGGGCCGGCCCAAGCAGTGAAGGCACTGGCGGGCCTGGCGCTCGCTGGGAACCTCAAATGACATTCATGACAGAGCTCAGTTACCTCCTCCCATGCCTCACCTCTTCCTCCTCCTCCTCCCTCGATCAATGAACAGCATCCCACGCTCCACACATCTGAGACAAAACTGGGTGTCTCTTCCAGACTCCTCCCTTGGTTCATTCAAGTGGCCACCAAGTCCTGTCTGTCCTCCCATCTCCACGGCTACAACCAGGTACCTGCCTCCCCCGCCCTGTCCACCTTCTGTTCTCTCCACCCGCACTCTGTCCCCGCCATCCATGTGCCATACAGTGGCAGACTGGTCTTTCTACAGCACACTGGACTAGCGCCCTTCCCTGCCCACAGCTCTCAGAGCTGGAGGTGGAGTTGAAACTCACGGTTTGGCATTCAGAGCTCTTTCCTCCTCAGCACTGGCTTATCCAGAGCTCTCACAGTGCGGGGCAGGAGCCCCTGACTCAAATGTGGGTGTGGTGCACAACTGGGTCATAGGCTTTCCCTAAGAAGAGACAGGACTGAGATGCGGAGCTTTTCTGGGTTCAGAGTTAGACCCACAGAGTGCAAGGTTTCTCTGAGGCACCAAATGGAGGGTACAGCTGGCAGCTGGCTCCTGGTCCGGAGCTTCAAGGAGAGGTGTCAGCTCAGAGCCACATTCAATAGCCAGCTGAAATGCAGCCTCCTGCAGGGAGCTCCTGGAGCTCCCACAGCCTCAGATCTGCCCCTCTGCATACCCCAGATCTCTTGCCAAGTGGCGTTTGTGTCTTCATGTCATCTCCCTCCCATGTCCGGGAGTAAAGGTGAGGTGCAGGGACTTGAGCTTGTGTACTCTGGTGTCTTAAGGGAGAATGTGTCAAGTAGAGTGGAGGTGGCTTGGAAAGAGGGAGACTCAGAGGAGAGTGAAGGACACTGACCAGGCGAGCCTGGGAGCAGGAAAAGAGATGAGCGTGAGCAGAGGAAACTGCTGGGGCAGGGGGCGGATGGGAGGATCAGGGAATGAGGGGGCTGGAGAGGTGGGGGTGGGGATGCTGGCGCCAGGCTGCCTGGCTCGCCAGGCTCAGGAGTCGGTTACATCCTCCCACAAGGGCCAGCTCACCTGGTCGCCCCAAAGCCCTCCCTCTGTGGGTGGGCCCAGAACATGGATTACCCAATTGAGCAGGACAGAGGTGGACTCAGGTGGTGCTGGGCTGGACTCCTGGCCGTGGGGAGCAGCCACCACCCTGCCTACTGCATCCACTTTCCAACTCGCTGCCTGTCTGAACAGATGCAATATGGGGCACCTTGTGAAACGTGCTCCTGGTGCACCTGCTGCCTGCTGCCCCTCCTGCAGAGTGCCCGGGCTCTCCAGAGGGGATTCCTTGGCCTAGATTCTGAGTCCTGCCTCTCACACCCGGGGCTGCTACTCCAGAGGCCAGCTGATTGAGTACCCTGGAAGCCTGTCTGTAGCCCAGGCTACAGCTGGGTCCGTCCCACAGCCCTTCTTTAGTGCATCTATTTGGACTGACTGCTCATTTCATAGAGAGGGGTGTGTCTTGCCCCAGCTCATCTGGCATGTCTAAGGCAGTTGTGGGGTCAGAATCTGCAGCTCCCAGGCCCCAGCCCTGCAACAGTAGGAGAGGCTGGACCCTGTATCTCTGCAGTCCCACCGGGCTGGTGCGGGCTGGTTTCTTGTCTCTCCAGAAACACAAACACAAGACCTCATAAAATGAGTGAGTTTCTATCGGCCATAATTACTGCAACTGACTTCTCCAATTTTCCCCTCCACAGTTAACTAAACAGCTCAAATACTATCAGTAACAAATAACAGTCATCATG